AGGTTGGGCAATCCTACTTCCGTAGTGATACTGCCTTGGAAAGCCAAGGAGGGGTCGCTATGAGTCAGGGCTGACTCGACGGCACATAACAACAACAACAACATACACCTATATGACCCAAGTTACCAAGCAACATTGGGAAAGTGATAGATCCAATATCTCCATGTTAAATATTCTGAGAATTCCTAGTACAAAGGATGTACAATAAATATATTATGAAAGATATAACTTCATGAAGAATAAGACCTTCCATAAAATGTGAGTGCTAATATTCTCACAATGGTCTAGAGTTTCCTGAGTATCTAATAAAGTCAAAGAACTTTTCTAGTCATTGTGACAGTAGTAGGGAGAACAATATAAACATTTATTATATTTGGAAAGCCGTGGATCTGGACTCCTTTTTAAATATATGTATAAAAATCTAGGTATTGAGGATAAGTGAGCAAGACAATATAATCTCATGGAGATTATATTAATGTCAGGGAGACAAATGATTAAAATATATCAGAGTGTCTCAACTTCAGCTCTACTGACATTTTGAAGCAGATAGTTCTTTGTTGGAGAAGAGGCCCATGTACTATGGATGTTTTTATCCCTGGCCTCTCTCTATCCACTAGATGCCAGTAATACTCCTTCCATTGTGACAACCAAAAAATGTCTCCAGACATTGCCAACTGTCCCCTAGGGGGAGAAATTCATTCCTGGTTGAGAACCACTGATACATAATTTCAGGCAGAGGTAAATGCTATGAAGCAGGGTTCAAGGGACTAGAGAATGATGAAGGAGAGAAAAAGATATCTTAGATAAGGTGACTAGAGATGATAGTTTTATCTATCTCATAGGACTGTTGTGAAGATTTAATGTGTTAATACATATAAAGCTCTTTTGTTATTGTTGTTATGTGCCGTCAAGTCGGACCTGACTCATAACGACCCCTCCTTGGCTTTCCAAGGTGATATCGCTAAGGAAGTAGATTGTTCAACCTTCCTTCCGAGGAGTGCCTGGTGGGTTTGAACTTCCAGCCTACTGGTTAGCAGTCAAGTGCCTTTAGGCACTATGCTACCATAGTAGATAAAATCAGAGAATTAGATCTACATTTATAAACATTAGTAGTTCTTAGAAACATAATATTGAATAAAAAAGTAAGATATAAATAATCAATATAAGACAATTTATACAAACAGACCAAATGATAGCAGTATTGCTGATGAATATACATATGGTTCAAAATGTAAAATGCAGACTAGAACAATTAAAATCAAACTAATGATAACGGAGGAAGGAGAGGGTAATAGGAGTGAGGCTGTAAAATGAGACTTCATCTTTATTTGTAATGTATTACTTGAAAAACAAGAGACAAATCCAAAGTGATAAAATGGTCACTCACTATTGTTAATCATGGGAAGTAGGTTTATGGGTTTTACTATATTTTAAAATCTTTTCTGATTTTTTACAAATATATGAAGTTAAGTGAGGAGGGGAGGATGAGGGAGAAGGCGAGCTCTTAAGATGAGTCCTGACTTACTTATCATTTTTTTTTCTTGATGATGCTCCACTGCAAGTCAAAGAACGAGGCTTTGTAGGAAGTCCAACATCTTTGTGTTTGATCTGAATTGGATTCCATAGTGTCAGCATATGCCATGACACCAAGAATAGGAGAGTTTAAGACATTGTTCTGTCAACCAACAGTATGGACCTCAGGTCAAGAAGTGAGATTGGTGAGAGTGAAGAAAACAGAAAACTGGAGATCTGACTGCACACTTGGCCACAGTTCTGAAAATATTCTTTTAACGATATAAAGATCAAATCATGACTTGTCCTTCATCTGGCCATTATGAATTTGATTTACAGAAGAAAATATTAGATAGATAGATACAGAGACAGCAATATGGAGATAGATGCATATGTTTTTTCTTCAGTCATGTTCCAATTTTGGAGTCTTGTTCTACAGTTTGGGAATCATTAGATTACTCAATACCTATATTTCTAGTACTCTTAATACTAAACTACCTACAACTTCTTCCTAAAGATAGCTTTACTTAAGTTTCAGGTTGGAATTCACCTTGTTTTCATGACATTGTATATCTGTTGATGCTGCTTTTATAAGCTAGACGTCGTGCCTTGAAGGCCTTGAATCTGTATACAAAGATCAGCTCTCATCATAACACTATGTGCTAGGTGTCTGGATTCTATGAGTGTGTTGTCTAGTTTCTGTCGTCTTATTTCTTTGTCAATACCAGCAAACAGCTGATTTCAAATTGTATTTGTTTCCTGTGGCTGCTGAAAAAATCACCACAAACTTGGTGGATTAAAACACCAGAAATTTATTCTCTCATAGGTATGCTCTGGTAGCATAGTGGCTAAGACACTTGCCTGCTAACCAGACGGCTGGCGGTTCAAACCCACCAGCCACTCCTCGGAAGGAAGGTTGGGCAATTCTACTTCCGTAGTGATACTGCCTTGGAAACCCAAGAAGGGGTCGCTATGAGTTGGGTTTGACTCGACAGCACATAACAACAACAACAACATAGGTGTGCAGGCCAGAAGTCTGCAATCAGTATCATAGGACTATAGGTGCTCTGGTGGTGTAGGGGTTAAGGCATTCCAGCTGCTCTGTGGGTGGAAGATGAAGCAATATACCTTCATAAAGATTTACAACCTTGGAAAGCCTGTGGGGGTTGCTATGAGTCAGAACTGACTCAATGGCAGTGGGTTTGGACTGTAGGGGAGAATTCATTCCTTGCCTCTTCTACCTTCTCGTGCTGGCTTGTCCTCGGTATGTTGTTTGTTCTTGGTTTGTTGGCAGCATCACTCCAATCTCAGCCTCTACAGCCATATTGCCTTTCCCTCTTCTGCGTGTAATCTCACTCTACCTGCCTCTTATAAGGATGCATGTGATTGCATTCAAGGCTTACCTGACTATATAAGATAATCTCCCCATCTCAAGATCTTTAACTTCATCATATCTGCACAGACACTTTTTCCAAATGAGGTAATTTCCAGGCAGTTCTGGACTGATATCTTTGAGGGCCATTATTCAGCCTATTACACTTGTCAAATTCTGTTTAGTTTTGCTTCCTTGTGTTACCTTCACAATATTTAGAGACATGCTTGGTGATGCCCATTTCTAAACTTCACTTACCTTTTCTTTTTACTTTGATTGATTTTAGTTTTAGTGATCTGCTTATATTTCTTGATATCTGGTTTCATTTTTCTAAAGTCACGGCTAATGTTTCTAAATCACCCCAGTAGAATCTCACAAACTGTGATAATATAACAGGCTGAAGTCATTGTAATCTGCTTAATTCCTTAACTTTATAAATAGCAACAGCTTGCTAGTTAACATATATATTTACCAATATAACTATAGAGAATGTTTGAAGTATAAAGTAAAAAGTTATTAGTAATCTCATTACCCTAACACAAAGTTATTATTTTGTTTAAGCATATTATTTATTCTTTTCCATATTTTTAAGGGTTGCACTTGCAATAGACATAAAATTTAGTATCAGGATTTTTCACTTAACCTACACATTTTTCATGTTACTACATAATTGCTGGAAGCTCTGGTGGTGTAGTGCCTAAGGCATTTGACTGCTAAGCAGAAAGCTGGTGGTTCAAACCCACCAGCCACTCCCCAGAAGGAACGTTGGGCAATCTACTTCTGTAGTGATACCGCCTCGGAAACCCAAGGAGGGGTTGCTATGAGTTGGATCTGAATTGACGGCAGTGCATTTGCATTACATGCTTGCTGATAAATCAGAGCTCATGCTATTCTATCAAATATTGCTACATTGTTAGTTGCTGTTGAGTTGGCTCTGACTTCTAGCTACCCCACGTACAATAGGACCAAATGCTGTCTGGTCCTGTGCCATCTTTGTGATTCCAACACAGGGAGCTCATCTTCTACCACTATATTGGCTAATTTTTGGAAGAAATACTTTAAAGGTAATAGTGGGGCACAAACATGGTTTTCAAAATAATTTGGAAACTGATTTATTTGATAACTAATGGAGGCTACTAATGACTGTTTATACTATCAATGTAAAATTATTTGGAAATTGGGCAGTTTCGGGATTATGCAATGCTTAGATTTTTCTTTCTTCTCCTTTCTAATGCTCACATTCATTTTTTTTTTTTTCCCGCTACTCACAGTTGTATCACTTTACTGTTTATTATCTTCTTTTACAACAGAAGGAGCTTTGGGGGTGCAGTGGTTAAAGCGTTTGGCTGCTAAACAAAAGGTTGGTGGTTTGAATCTATCAGCCACTCTGCAGGAGAAAGGTGAGGTGGTCTGCTTCCGTAAAGATTTATAGCCTTGGAAATCTATGTACTGTTCCTTCTGTCCTATAGGGTTGCTATGAGTTGGAATCGACCTGATGACAGTGGGTTTTTCAAAAGAGTTTGCAAAAGAAGTGTGAGATGATGAAGGGATTTTGGTATCTACATGACCCTGATAAAAGACTTACAGAGGAAAATAGAGCAGCAGGCAAAAATGAGCTTTAGATTCATTTGCAAATTTCAGCTAGGGCTCTCTTATCACTATGCCACCAGAGCTCCTCTTTTATCACAATAGCCTAGAAAACCAAAAGATGATTATTTGCTTCACAAATACCAGACATATATTTCAAGAATGCTTAATGTCCAGCATCAATCAGTGAAGACAAACAGATCCTTTGACTTATAACTATTGTTTTAATTGATAACAATGGCCTCAGAAATAAGGTTAAAGACAATAGGAAAAGGATAGCAAGAGCACAATGTAATCCTTTATGGGCTCAATCCCATATATATATATATATATATATATATATATATATATGCACATGCAGTCACACAAATTATATTTTTACATATCATGGGACTGTAACTACAACTGACAGTAAAAATCATTAATATCCCAAATTTGCTAAGATCTAGGAACCATAGAGTTTCCTTCTGTTATTAGGAGCTGTGTTTTGGCTGTTTTTTTTCCCTTTAAAGTCTTTCAATCAAAGGGACTACATGCAACCATTTTGCTTACAGTCAGTGATGGCAACCTTGATGAAAATGGTACTTTTATTTGGTTCTCCAAGCACTGCACCCATGGGCATCTGGAGAAGTAATTCAAACCTCTCTGGACCCTCCAGGATGGGCTGTCTTAGGTCATCAGGAATTGTCACTTGGAATATTTGCCTGTGTACCTCAGGAGCAAAGTCCAGTTTTCGGTTGATGCCAACATAATCTATTCCAGCTGTTGGGAAAGATAAAGGCCAAGAGTGAGACAGGAGGATCTATTATCCTAAGTTTTCCTTCAGAGGAAAATGAGGGTATCATCAAGTTGGTTGCATTCCTCCATATCTATGCAGAAATCTCAGAATTTTATTTTGTGGGTAAAATCCCCAGGAAAGGAAAATGTCCATATTCTATCAAATGCCACAACAGTAACTAATTGTTATACCCATGGGCCATCCTTGTCAGTGCTCCTATGTCCAGACAAAGCAAATATATCACCTTATAAACATTCCACAAAAATCCCAGTGCTTATAATTAGGCAACTTCAATTTGAAATGAGATTTGCCTTTGTCACTTTTACAGTTCAAGAAGAGATCTATTATGCATTTCATTTTGATTAGATGTAACTCACTCACCTTTGGCTGACACCTTGTCTAATCTTACTCATTTTACTCAGCTTTTGAAGGTTCTGCCCTTCTCTATGTGGTTATTAATCATTTTGCAAGTAGGCCCACTTGACTGTGTAACTTCTTTGCTACTCATTTAGAAAGGTCATCACATGACAAACTGAGCATCACAATAAGGAATGCTAGCAGCATGTTATAACCAAATGAATAAAGCAGGAAATCTTGACTTCATACTGATAGAAATAAATACACAAATAAATTGAGGAAGAGGATAATTACATGGTCCCAAGAAATCTTCCTACAAAATATTTATTAATTACAAAGAGAAAAACACTAACTTTACAGTGGAGAAATGTGGCAAATATCATCTTGACCAAATGATCTCAGTTAGCACTACCAATAATGGGACAAAGTTAAGTTTTTTTGTGACAGAAGTTTTTGTGATAGAACACAATGAGAACACATCATTTTTGTGATTTTCTTGCTAAAAATGCATAAGTTGATTCTAATGAGGAAATATCAGAATAATCTAATTTAAGGGATATTCTACATGCTACAAAAACAAGTTCATAATCTTAAAAAGCATCAACGTTAGGAAAATGAAGGAAAGATCAAGGAACTGTTACAGATTGAAGGAAACTAAACAGATATGACAATGACATGTAATGTGTGATTCTAAATTGTATTATTTTGCTATAAACAAGAAGTTGGGGACGATTTGTGAGACTTGAATGAGATCTCAGGATTATATTGTAGTTATGCATCAAGTTAATGTACTGATTTTTTGTTGTATTGTGGTGACACAGTAGAATGTCTGTGTAGAAATTATCCCCTAAGTTTTTGGAGAGATAGGACATTATGTTGGCAACACAATGGTTCGGGGAGGCAACGTGTTTTACTGTATACTTGTTACTTTTCTGTAAGTTTGAAATTGTTGCAAGAATTAAAAAAAAAAAGTCATCATGTAATTACATTGAACAAAAAGGAAATAATATGGCTCCCAGTAGAGTAGCGGGAAGAGTGTAGTTTTTCGATCTGTGAACTCTGGTCCACACCTTGGTTCCATTCCTTACATATATGAATTATTTAACCTCTTTAAGTCTTAGTTTCCTCATTTGCACAATGGGGATAATTAGAGCTACCTTACAACCTTACAAGGTTGTGAAGATTTTAGACAATAAGGCAAAGATGTTAACATAGTGTCTCAAAATAGTACTCGTTTAATACATGAAGTTATAATTATCATATATACAATAATCTATAATTATACCTACACATTATTGTTGATGTTGTTAGGTGCTGTCAAGTCATCTCTGACTCATAGCAATCCTATGCATAGCCAAATGAAACACTGCCCCGTCCTGGGCCAGCTCCATGATCGATCCTTGCTATACTTGAGTCCATCACCGCAGCCACTATGCCAATCCATCTCATTGAGGGTCTTCCCTTCTTTTATCGACCCTCCACCTTACCAAGCATGATATCCTTCTCCAGTGAATGGTCCCTTCTGACAACATGACCAAAGTATGTGAGACAAAGTCTGCCCATTCTTGCTTCCAAGGAGCATTCAAGCTGCACTTCCTCCAGGATAGATTTGTTAGTTCTTTTAGCAGTCCATGGTACTTTCAGCATTCTTTGCCAGCACCACATCTCAAAAGCATCAACTCTTCTGCGCTCTTCCTTATTCATTTGTCCAGCTCTCACATGCATACGAGGTGATTGAAAATATCATGGTTTGTGTCAGGTGCACCTTAGTCCTCAAGGAGACATCTTTGCTCTTTAGCACTTGAAAGAGGTCCTTTGCAGCAGATTTGCCCAGTGCTGTACATCATCTGATGTCCTCACTGCTGCTTCTATCAGCGTCGATTGTAGAACCAAGCAATGTGAAGTCTTTGACAACTTCAATCTTTCTTCCTTTTATCGTGATGCTGCTTATTGGTCCAGTTGTGAGGATTTTTGCTTTCTTTATATTGAGGTGTAATCCATACTGCCGACTGCATTCTTCAGTCTTCATCAGTAAGTGCTTCAAGCCATCAAGGTTGTTAATGATTCTTCCTCTGATCCTGATGCCATGTTCTTCATATAGTCCAGCTTCTCAGATTATTTGCCCAGCATATAGATTAAATAAGTATGGTGAAAGGATACAACACTGACACACTCCCTTCTTGATTTTAAACCATGCAGTTTCCCCTTGTTCTGTTTGAACGACAGCCTCCTGGTCTATGTAGAGGTTCTCATGAGTACAATTAAGTGTTCTGGAATTCCCATTCTTCTCAATGTTATCCACAATTTGTTATGCTATACATTATAAGCAATTTGTTTACTATACATTATAAACATGTACATATAATTATATATTAAATTATTATTATTAACTAATGAACCTGAGCAGATGTTAAATATTTACTATATTTACTAGGCTCTATTGAGTATCACCACAGGAGAAAGATGTGTCAGTCTGCTTCCATAAAGATTTACAGACTTGGAAACCCTATAGGGTGGTTCTACTCTCTCCTATAGGGTTGCTATGAGTCAGGATTGACTCAGTGGCAGTGGATTTGGTTTTGGACTGATGATTAAATCTGCATAGTTATCTCTATATTTCTCATGTTTAAACTCATGAATCAACACCCCAAGCATGGCTGTTACTTCAATTAGTCCATCTCTACCTGAGAGCTAGCAGAAACCATGTGATTCAAAAGTAAAAAAGAGACCAGAAGAATTAGATGGTACCTGACTGGCTATTACTGCTGATTGTTCTGAAAGGGATCATAATATATAATTATACCTGGGTAGAGTGGGAGAAAAATGTGGTACAACTCAAAACCATAAAAAAGACCAGGCTTACTGGTCTGATAAAGACTGGTGGAACTCCAGAGACTATGGCCCATAGACTCCCTTCAAGAAAGGAACTGAACTCAACCCCCCTGGCTCAACTTCCAGCCAAATGATAGACAGGCCTGTAAGGTGAACAGTGGAGAAGGGATGCTCTCATTAGAACAACTGACCATATGAAACCAAAAGGGTAGACTTTGCCCTGGGATAAAGCTAAGAAGGCAGCAAGGAATAGTAAAGAAGGACAAAGGGAAATGGTGCACAGTGGGGAAGAGTGTTGTTACATTGTGGGGATTGCAATGAATGTCACAAAACATTTGTATGAATTGTTGAATGGAAAACTAATTTGCTCCATAAACTTTCATCCAAATGACAATTAAAAAAAAAAAAAAAAAAGAAAAGAAAAAGCAAAGGAGTTTATCTAAACAAATTCTGGTTTTCTTCCTAACTATAAGCAAAACAAATCTAGAGTCTAATTCACTTTTGGCTCTATGGATGCACATAAAGTGAGAAATGGCCCAGCCCTCTCAAGAAATTAAAATAAACTCAAACCAGGAAAAAAAAAAAAAAAACCCAGCGGTATTAGGGATTATCATTAAATTATCACTAATTCATACATACTATCCTGTGATAGGGTGGCTATGAGTTGGAATTGACTCAAAGGCAATGGTTTATTTATTTTTATTTTTTGTTTTTAGTATCATGTGATATATTCACTAAAGTATAATAACATGCAGTTCTTCAGGGATAAGCACTGGACTGTAAACCTAGCTGGCTGTCTTTACTTTCCTTAACTGTCTCTGGGTAAATGCTGAAACAAATATCCCATTTCATAGATAAATGCATATTTCACTCTCTTTCTGCCTATCTGTTAGTGTTGGATTTTAGATTGCAGGGTTTTATTTGTAGGAGTGTGCTTTTACTTTGATTTTATCTTAAAACATTGTCACGTGTTTTGGCTATATAAGAAGCTCATCCTAAATGCTGGTTGTCCATTTCCAGGACACCATAAGTTTCCAGGTGGTGAATGGGATGATACAGGTATCAATATGATGACAATGTTGCTGTCTTTTCCTATTGAGTCCTATTGGCTTTTTTTTCTGTTAAAGGAGCTGTGTTGGTTCTCTAGTGCTGCTATAACAGAAATACACAAGTGATTGGCTTTGACAAACAGGGATTTATTCTCTTACAATTTAGGAGGCTAGAAGTTCGAGTTCAAAGTACTGACACTAGGGGCTAGGTAAAGGCACCTTGACCTTGGGCTCCAGCTCTGCCTCTTGCTCCGGCCCATTAGAGCTAGGAGCTTTTTCGGACTCAGGCAGCTGCTGGCTACTGAGGATGATGAACCCAAAATTGACAAGTAAAATGGCACAGTCTCAAAATTAGCAAGCAACATGGTAGGTCACTAGTTCAAGTCTAGGAACAATTCCAATATCGGCTAGCCAAGACCTAGCCAAATGCAGGGTCCAGATGTGCCAAAAGCTAGAGCCCTTTCCTAAAGTTTCTACATAAATACTAGAAACAGGCCACACCCTGACAGCAACTCCCCTTTCACTGATTAACGTCTCACAGCAGATTCTGTATGGAGTTTTTTATACCACATCCAGTCTCCTCATGGGGAATAACTACATCCAGCTGTCCAGCCACTCAAAACATGGTCCAGCAGAGCTGATATACAAACTTAATTACCACTGGAGCTGACAGACTCAGGAAAAGAAATGGTTTCCAGAACTGTCTAGCCCACTGCTTCTAGGCCTCTATCATCCATATCAGGAAAGGCAGAGATGAGTATCATGTGAGTAGATGCTGCTTGAAGCCAAGGAAAATGCCCGAGTCAGAAGTGAAAACCTCTTACACTTAAAAGACTTAATAGGTCACTTGATTCTCCTGGGAGCTGGGTTTTGCTCAGCAGGGGGCTGCTGTTATAGATATACCCTTGTCTGAGATATGATTTATGAGCAATTTACAGTATGAGTCGGGGCCGACTCGACGGCAAACAACAACAACAACAACACCTATAGGGAGCTCTGGTAGCATAGTGCCTAAGGCACTTGACTACTAACCAGAAGGCTAGTGGTTCAAACCCACCAGCCACTCCTCAGAAGGAAGATGGGGCAATCTACATCCACAGTGATACTGCCTCAGAAACCCAAGGAGGGGTTGCTATGAGTCGGGTCCGACTTGATGGCACATAACAACAACAACATACTTATTCTGGAGAGTGCTGATGGCATAGTACGTAAGGCATTTGACTGCTAACCAGAAGGCTGGTGGTTCAAACTCACCAGCCACTCCTCAGAAGGAATGTTGGGCAATCTACTTCCTTAGAGATACTGCCTCAGAAACCCAAGGAGGGGTTGCTATGAATCGGGACCAACTTGATGACAGTGAGTTTTTTTTAATACCTATTCTGAACAATGGAAAATTAATTTGGACTGAAAATAAGCATATGGGTAAGTAATAAATCATAAAGGCCACTGTTAGAATATTCTGTTTATTTCATATGGAGAAGTCATTACATGTATGTTGTTGTTGTTGTTACGTGTCGTCGAGTTGGACCTGACTCATAGCGACCCCTCCTTGGGTTTCCGAGGTGATATCGCTAGGGAAGTAGATTGCCCAACCTTCCTTCTGAGGAGTGGCTGGTGGGTTTGAACCGCCAGCCTTCTGGTTAGCAGTCAAGTGCCTTAGGCACTACGCTACCATTTATATGCTCAAGTACAAGAAACTTTAAATCAGAGAACATCAACAAAGTATAGGCATTCTACATTTGGCAGATTAACAGATGCTGTGGAGTTGATTCTGACTCCTGGTGACCCCACATGCATCAGAGTAGAACTGTGCTCTGTTAAGGTTTGCAATGACTGATGTTTTGGATGTAGATCACCTGGTTTTTCTTCTGAGGAGCTTCTGTGTGGACTTAAATCTCCAACTTTCCAACTGGCAACTAAGTGTGTTAATTGTACCACACAGGGGCTCCCTGATAGACTAGACTTTGCCATAAGTGTATATCATGATAATAATACTATTAATCACATTTTTAAAATAGCTCTCTTACCTTCTGCTGAGTATGGCTCAGCCTTCCTAGAACACACAGTGACAGAGGCTGCTTGGGAAAGGTCAGGACCTCTTCTCCAGACAGACACCTCCAGGTAGTTCACACTTTCATCTATGTGATACTCAGCATCCCCAAAGTACAGGACAGGCTCTAGAAAGGCAAGAATGAATGAACTGAGGGCTACTGTCACCTCTGCCCTGTGTGAGCCTTGGTATCTGTCACACTGTCAATCTTGACAGATACCACAGGCTGTATTGCTCTATAGCTTGAGGAGAAACACACATACACACATACATGCCCCCCCCCCCACACACACACAGAGAAAGCCATGTAAAAGAGTCACATGCCATTACTTTGACTCTAGGAAGTGCAGTAAGATAAAATCAAACGAAATTCTATTCAATTTTCTGTTTTAAGAGATGCCACGTAATTGAAATTTCCCTGTTGTTGTTAGGTGCCGTCGAGTCATTTCCAACTCATAGCAACCCTATGCACAGTAGAACAAAACACTACCCGATCCCATGCCATCTCCATGATCCTTGCAATACTTGAGCCCATCATTGCAGCCACCATGTCAATCCATCTTGTTAAAGGCCTTCCCCTCTTTCATTGACCCTCCACCTTACCAAGCATGACATCCTTCTCCAGAGAATGGTCCCTTCTGAAAACATGACCAAAGTAGGTGAGACAAAGTCTGGCCATTCTTGTTTCCAAGAAGCATCCTGGCTGCACTTACTCCAGACAGATGTGTTAGTTCTTTAAGTAGTCCGTGGTACTTTCAGTACCCTCTTTGTTAGCACCACAACTCAAAAGCATCAATTATTCTTCGGTCTTACTTATTCATTGTCCAGCTCTCACATGCATATGAGGCAATTGAAAATATCATGGCTTGGGTCAGGAACACCTTAGTCCTCAAGGAGACATCTTTGCTTCTCAGCACTTGAAAGTGGTTCTTTGCAGCCGGCTTGTCCAGTGCTATGTATCCTCTGATGTTCTGACTGCTGCTTCCATTGGCGTTGATTGTAGAACCAAGCAATGTGAAGTCTTTGACAACCTCAATCTTTTCTCCATTTAACGTGATGCTCCTTACAGGTCCAGTTGTGAGGATTTTTGTTTTCTTTATATTGAGATGTAATTCATATTGCAGACTGTATCCTTCAATCTTCATCAGTAAGTTGTTCCTCCTGAGTAAGTCATCCTCACTTTCAGCAAGCAAAGTTGTGTCATCAGTGTATCGCAGGTTGTTAACGATTCTTCTTCCAATCTTGATGCCTCATTCTTCTTCATATAGTACAGCTTCTCAGATTATTTGCTCAGCATATAGATTGAATAAGTGTGGGGAAAGGATATAACCCCGACACATTCCCTTCTTGATTTTAAACCTTGCAGTGTTCCCTTGTTCTTTTTGAATGACAGCCTCCTGGTCTATGTACAGGTTCCTCATGAGTACAATTAAATGTTCTGGAATTCCCATTCTTCTTAATATTATCCACAATTTGTTATGATCCACACAATCAAATGCCTTTGCACAGTCAATAAAATACAAGTAAACATCTTTCTGGTATACTTTGCCTTGAGCCTATGATATCCCTTGTTCCACGTCCTCTTCTGAATTCAGCTTGCACCTCTGGGAGTTCTCTCTCAGTATACTGCTGCAACTCTTTTTGAATTATTTTCAGTAAGATCTTACTTGAGTGCAATATTAATGATATTGTTTGATAATTTCCACATTCTGTGGGATCAGCTTTCTTTGGAATGGGTACAAATATGGATCTTTTCCAGTCAGTGGCCAGGAAGCTGTCTTCCAAATATCTGGGCATAACTGAGTGAGTGTCTTCAGAAGGGCATCCGTTTGTTGAAACATCTCAATAGGTATTCCATCAATTCCTGGAGGTTTGTTCTTCGCCAATTCTTTCTTTACAGCTTTGACTACCTCCTTCAGTACCATTGGTTCTGGATCATATGCCACCTCCTGAAATGGATGAAGATTGACCAGTTCTTTTTGGTACGTGGACTCTGTGTATTCATTCCATCTTCTTTTGATGCTTCCTGCATCATTCAATATTTTGCCCATAGAATCTTTCAATATTGCACTTTGAGACTTAAATTTTTTTCCTCAGTTCTTTCAGCTTGAGAAATGCCAAGCCTATTCTTCCCTTTTGGTTTTCTAACTCCAAGTCTTTGCACATTTCATTATAGTACCTGGCTTTCTCTGCTTGAGCTGCTCTTCGAAATCTTCTGTTCAGTTCCTTTATCTTGTCATTTTTTCCATTTGCTTTAGCTAATCTTCACTCAAGTGCAAGTTTCAGAGTTTCCTTCTGTCATCCATTTGGTCTTCTTTTCTCATATTTTTAATGACCTCTTGCTTTATTCGTGGATGATGCTCTTGATGTTATCCCACAATTCTCCTGATTTTCAGTCATTGGTGTTCAGTGCATCAAATCTATCCTTTAAGTGGTCTGCAAATTCAGGAGGGATATATTCAAGACCATATTTTGGCTCTTGTGGACTTGTTTTAATTGTCTTCAATTTCAAGTTGAATTTGCATATGAGCAGTTGATGGTCTGTTGCACAATCAGCTCCTGGCCTTGTTTTGGCTGAATATATTGAGCTTCTCCATCGCCTCTTGTCACAGATGTAGACAATCTGATTCCTGTGTGTTCCATCTAATGAAGTCCATGTGTACAGCCACCATTTGTGTTGTTGAAAAAAGGTATTTGCAATGAATAAGTCGTTGGTCTTGCAAAACTCTACCATGTGAGTTCCAGCATTATTTCTGTCCCCAAGGCCAAAATTTCCAACTACTAGTGATTCTTCTTTGTTTCTAACTTTTGCATTCCAGTCACCAGTGTTAATTAACACATCCTGATTGCATGTTTGGTCAATTTCAGACTGCAGAAGTTGATAAAAATCTTCAATTTCATCATCTTTGGCTTTGGTGGTCAGTGCATAAATTTGAATAATAGTCATATTAACTGGTCTTCCTTGTAGGCATATGGATATTATCCTTCACTGACAGCATTGTACTTCAGAAAAGATATTGAAACATCCTTTATGATGATGAATGCCATGCCATTGCTCTTCAAATTGTCATTCCCAGTATAATAGATCATATGATTGTCTGATTCAAAATGGATAAAACCAGTCCATTTCAGTTCACTAATGCCTAAGACATCAATATTTGTTTGTTTCATTTCATTTTTGACAACTTCCAATTTTCCTAGATTCAAACTTTGTACATTCCATGTTCTGATAATTAATGGATGTTTTCAGCTATTTCTCATCAATTTGAGTTGTGCCACATCAGAAAATGGAGGTTTTGAAAGCTTTACCTTATCCATATCAGGAAGGCTGGTTTTACTCTGATGATGCAGCTCTTTCCCAGTCCTGTTTTGAGAGCCTTCTAACCTACATGTCTCATCCTCCTGCTCTTTACTGGACAACTATTCCAGGCTATTCATAAAGTTGAGCAGTAATGTATCAGACAGTGTTCCTCTGCTATTCATAAGGTTTTCCCTGGCCAATTCTTTGAGGAGTGAATGGCCTCTTCCTTCTTGCTAGTCTGTCTCAATCTGCAAGCCATGCTGAAATCTGTGCACCATGTGCACCCTGCTGGGTTTGAAACACCAGTGGCACAGCCTCAAGCCTCACAACAACACGTCACCATAGTAGGACAAACTGACAGACAAGTTTGTCTCCCTTGGCTGTTGGAAACCTCTCCAGCGTCCTCTTACCTGGATCCCTGCTGCTGCCTCCTCATTCTGTCCCAGTCCACCTAGCCTTTTTCTCTCCTTTCCCCTGATTTCCCCACCTTGCTGCTTGTGGGGCATGGTCTGGGTTCCCTCCTACCTGGATCTCTGCTGTTGCCTCCTCACAACAACTGTCCCAATTCCCTGTCTGGAAATTTCCCTACTGGGGACAATTATCTAAACTGCTAATACTCAGACAAGTTAGCTATTGTTTGGGAAAAGATAGTAAGGAATTTAGGGAGACTTCTTGGGAGCCACCATTGTCTATCAGTTTGTAGTACTATGATGGCCTGCATGTTGCTTTGATGTAGTAAGTTATGTACCTGCTATTTCAAATACCAACATGGTCACTCATGGTGACAGGCTTCAGTGATGCTTCTAGACCAACACAAATTATGAAGAAAGGCCTGGCAATGTACTTCTGAAAATTGTTCTTAGTTGCTGTTGAGTCAACTCTGACTCATGGTGACTTTGTTTGTAGCACAACAAAAAGTTGCTGGTCCTGCACCTTCTTCATGGTCTTTGGTATGTCTGAGTCCATTGTTGTGGCTATTGCGGCAATTCACCATGATGAGGCTTCCTCTCATTTTTGCTGACCCTTTACCAAATATGCTCTTTTTCCAGCAATTGGTCTTTCCTGATGATAGATCTAAGGTAAGCAAACTGAAGTCTTTCCCTTCATGCCTTTAAGGAGCATTCTGGTTGTATTTCTTCTAAGATTTGTTCATTTTTCGGACAGTCCAGAGGCGCTCTGGTGGTGCAGTGGCAAACACATTCGGCTGCTAACCAAAATGTTGGTGGTTTGAATCCATTAGCTGTGCTACAGGAGAAAAATGAGTCAGTCTGATTCTGTAAAGATTTATAGCCTTGCAAACCCTATGGGGCAGTTCTACTCTTTTCTATAGGGTTGCTATGAGTCAGAATTGACTCAATAGTAGTGGGTTTTGTATGGTTCTGTCAGTCTATGGCGTATTCAATATTCTTTGCCAACAGCACAATTCAACTGCACCAATTCTTCTTCTGTGTTCTTCTTCTTCTTTTTTTTTATTTCATTGTCCAGCCTTTGCTTGTATATGAGGGTATTGGAAAGACCATTGATTGGGTCAGGCACACCTTAGTCATCAAAGTGATATCTTTGCCTTTTAGAACTTTAAAGAAGTGTTGAAAACCTTATGGATCCAAATAGAATAATGTCTTATATAGTGCTGGAAGATGAACCCTCTATGTTGGAGGGCACTACATAATAGCCAAGCAATGAACTCAAGCATACCAGTGATAACAAAGATGGTACAGAATTAGGCAACATTTCGTTCCATTATAACTAAGTTCACCATGCTAGGAGCTGACTCGAGAACAACTAACAATAACAAAACTTTCTTGGGAGAAAATTGTCACAATGCC